TATATTAAAACAATTTTTACATAAATTTATTTATTTATTTGTTTGCCTCATAATAACAATTTCCTCTTTTATATATGCACGGCCGTATTATTTTTTAATTATTTATTGTTATATTTAACAATAAACATTTATTTCTGCATTATAAATTCATTTTTTTTTTTGATTTATTTAATAAATAAATAAATCATTTATTTGGTGAATATTTTTTTTCAGTTCGTGAGTTTTTTATATTAACTTATATGCTTATTTCAAATATATATTCATTTTTTATTATCAACTTAATACATAACTTATTAGTTTTTAAATTTATTCAAGTTATAGATTTTGCCTTTTTATTTAAGTATTAATTTTTTAATATTTAAATATATAAATTAATGATATATTTGCTCATTCTCTCAAATTTTCATTGACCTATTTTTATTATTTTTTCATTGAAATACTTTTTTATATTTCTATATATTTATATTCAAATTAATCATTGCATTTACTTATTTCTTTATTTAATCACTTATTAGCTTTCAGTAATATTTTTTATAGTTTTATTTATTTATGTATAATTATATAGGTATGTATATTCATTAAAATGTTTTGTTAACTTGATGACTCATTTTAAAGGGCTTACTGAATCTTCTTACAAATTAATTGGCCTCCACTTAATAATTAAATAATGCTATAGTTATTAGAAATAATAATAATTTTAATAAACTAGAATATAGTTGTTATTTATTTATGAAAGATTTCTGAAAATTAATTCAAAGTTTATATTCAGCCATTAAATTAAGTAAATTACATATAGTGCAAAGTGAACAAAAATGTTTTACTGGGGTTCACAATCAAGTAACACTCCCTCTCCTTCTTTATATAACTTATGCATTTCTGATTCGAATATTTTCCTCTTTATTTAAAACAGAAGATTGTCTTTCAGCATTTTATAGAGTTTATGATATCAGTTTCTAATGTTCCTTGTGATCATCAAAGAAGGGGCTTCTAATCTCTGTACTCGGCGTCTAGCAGAAGTTAGGTATCTGAAAAATAAATATTCTTCATAATATTTTTTTTCTTTTCGACAAAGCCTTCAACAAAATGTTGGTAGCAACTAATTCAGGGAGGAATCATGCTTCCCTGGATCGAGAAGGTCTTCAAATCTTGGTAGCAACTAATTAAGGGAGGAATCATGACATATATATATAAATTTTTTTTTTTTTTTAATATGTATATTTATAGTTCTGATAAAATTTTGTTAACAAGGGAAACAAATTCATGTGACATTTACAATATATAATACAATATATAATATATTTTAATATATAATAAAGTTTAATACTAGCTGATTAATGTGTTTGTTCTTTATGCTTTTTCTTCCTATAAATAACTCTTTCCATTTAAATATAAAATTTTTTTAAAATGGATATAATAATATTCTGTATCTTAATTAGAAACTTTCCACTTTCATAACTTTTATACTCATTTATTAACATTTGTTTATGATGGAATGAAAATTTCATTATTTTTTGTAATTAATGGTTTGGTTTTCTTTGAACTATGAAAAGTGTTAGTGTTAGTGTTAGTGCTCCATGAACTATTGGATGTTAAGTGAATCTAAGCAGAATATAAATTTCAAACTTTTGGGTAAAGTGGCTTTGGTTTCATTCACTCCCGCCAATAGATTGTTGTCGTAGCAGATGTTTATTATCTATGTATCTTGTAGATAGTAAAACGAAAGCAATTTTTTTTTGTTTTTCAGATTGTACTGTAAGTTTTCATTCCAGTTTAATTCATTAATTTAAACTAAAAATATTTACTTTACTTTGATTACATTTTGGTAGAGTAAACTTTACATAGTATATTTTGTATTAATATTTTTGTAAATAAATCAAACCTAAAAGCATAAACTATAGCATTGCTGCGTAAGCCCAAGAGCATTTTCATAGCTCAAAGTGTATTTTGTGTACTTTTGGCATAATTTTTCAAGTCCTTTGCATTTCAGATACGCACTTGACTTTTCCACAAAATATGCATATCAATTTGTTCTGTTTGTGTTTTTCTTTCTTCAACTTGAGGAACTCAAAGAGGAAAACAATTACAAAAATTTCAAACGAAAATTAAAGCATAAAATTCAACAAAAATCCTACCACAACTTCGAGATGAGATACTCTCTCATTGAGGATATGCAAATGCAAAAGTCCTTTGCTTGTTTTGTCAGTACGTTTTCCAAAGTTACAAAAATGTAAAATAAATATAAGCAAAAGATACGAATTTTAAAATAAAGCAGGCATAAATATTTTGTTGTGAAAAATATGCAAATAAAATAAAATATTTGTCTTTGTCATTTTCTGACTGTAACGATAATAAACTTATAAATTCTACATCAACGTAGCTTTTGCCTTTAATTTGCATGTTAGCGCCCTAACATATGCTTTCATTTTGCTGTGCGTTACGTATCCTGCCATATTATTCACAGGTACAGTTTCGTCAGACGAAACTGTTTAAATATTAAGAGCCTTTTATTTATATTCTTCATTATTAAATTAAGTATACCCGAAGGATATACAAAATAGTATCTATTAAAGCGAAAGATGTACTCGATGAGCTGATACTAGAGATGGTCATGTACACAAATGAAGCGATAGCATTAATATTTTATTAGAATAATATTTTCCATTCGAATTATAATCTCAATTTGCAACACAAGCCTTAAATTGATTATTTAGAAGAAGGATAGATCGAAATTATAAGGAGCTGAGTATTAGCCCATTTTCATGCGATTATTTATTAATTTAGTATGATAAATAAATAAGCATAAGTTAATTACTTAGTTAATTATTAAAAGGCAGAATTTTTTACTTAAAAAAAATAATCACAAAACTTGGTTATAATTGAAATATAATAAATAAAGAATTTAAATAATAATAAGATTAATAAATAAATACAGAAATAATTCATTAAAATTGTATAGGCATATGCAATCAAAAATATATAAATTTTTTTATTTTAACTCGTCAATTTTTCGATTTATTTTTAATTTTTTACTTATATCGAGTTATATGAACCTCAAGAACATTTCAGAAACAGATATTGCAAGTCTTAATATCGGCTGATTTTTGAATTATAAGCGTTTAAATTATAGAAAACGGAGTAAATATATAAATAAATATTATATATTATTGAATATTATACGAGGACGGTTTGATAAATCAGTGACTTTTTGAATTTCCCGCGCAGTTACTCCAAATGCAACAGTGCTGCCGTCAGCTGTAATCTACCAGTAGGCAACTTTCTAATTTTGAGCAAGCTACGTCCTTCAGTTGGTGTTTGATAGCCGTTCAAAGCAGACAACCTCGTGAACTTTTACGAAAATGGAAAAAAGTAAATTTCGTGTGCTGATTAAGCATTACGATCCCAAATCCACGAATTGGGATACGAACTGCTACCCCATCCAGCATATTCTCAAGATTTAGCGACTATTTTCTGTTTCCAAACCTAAAGAAATGGCTGAGTGGTAAGAGATTTGAGTCAAATGAAGAAGTCATTACCGAAACAAACGCGTATTTTGAGAACATTGAGAAAACCTATTATTTGGAAAGAATAAGAAAATTAAAAAAACGCTGGACTAAATGTATCGAGCTAAAAGGTGATTATGTAGAAAAATAAAATGTTTATTTGCCGAAAAAAATTTGTTTTATTTAAAAAGTCACTGACTTATTAAACCACCCTTGTATATTGATTGGTTTGAGTTAAAATATATTTTTCCACCAATGACTTTTTAATTATATTAATTAATTAATATTTTCTGCTTCTCTGCTTGATGAAACGTCAATTAGTGTCTAATGCACTCTACTCAACAATGTCAGTGATCACTTGGATGATCCACTGTAACAAGTGTTACATTAAAGAAAACAAAATAGCTGACTAACTGATGTAGTTATACAATTATTAATTGATCTCAATATGACAATCTTCATTTCTGCTTCTATGCTTGATGAAACTCGAGTTAATATCTAAAGCATTCTCTACTCAGTATTGTTTTTGATCCCTTCTGTAACATGTGTATCTTCTGTAACACGTGTTCCATTAAATTATAAGTTTTTCAGATGATTTTCCAGAAGTATATATAGTATAAGTGTTTAATATACTACGCCCAGCATATCTTTCTGATAGAATAAATATTGCATTTGTTTTAAGAGAGTGCATTTTTCCGAATTGGTATGAGATTTCACAGAGTCAAATAATTTTAACGCTCTGTCTGATGTACTTTTCCACACACTCGATTTCTAATTCTCCATGTATGTCGTCATAACCAGTATTTCATGAAGATTTTAGCATGTATCTCAGTATAAAATTTTGATCAATTTGAAATTATCTAATGAAATTTTCACAAGATACACAACCAATAGTTAGTATAGGTCTAATTACTTGCTTATACTGAATGAAAGTTAACGAAAGTCGTTGTGTTAATAGTTTCCAAACATTCAAAATTATATTATAAGCCAGTTTTATGACCGATACATGTGTACCTTTTGTCAAACCTAAATATCTTATACTATCTTCCCTTTCTATTCCACATTACTCACTTTTATATTACTTGAATTTATATTTTGATGACTTGAAATGCAAAAGGCTTTCTTTTTTTCAGTATCTACTGTAACTCTTCACCTTCGGAAGTACTTCATTATAATCAAAAACATATCTTTAATGATTTGGTTTTTTCTTTCAGAGGAAGAAAACTGGGAATTCATCACAAAATCAAAATCAATATGCAATATTACTTACAGTAAAAATTCATAACCCACGTCTTACCCCCACTGCTGTTACTTAATTCATTATTTCATTAATTAATTTAGATCTTATATATTTTTTTTAATTTTCATTTACTTTAATTCATTACATATTTTTAAAGAAATGTAATATTTTTATATTTTTAATTGTGTACCGTTTTATTTAACTCTTAAATAAGTAAATATAAATAAATAAATAAATATAAATAAATATATTTTTGATTTTTATGGTGGTAAAACTTGTCCTTTATTTTTATAACCGAAGTATCCAATATTTCTAAGTTCATTTATCAAATCTGGGTGCAGAGCAATAGCTTTGAAAATTGCTTTCTCCAGCTCATCATATTGGAAATGAGGTTCATACGGCATGTCAACCAGTTGACACATCATTGTAGTGCCACGTTCATTACCCACCGCAATTGAATGCCCACATTTGGCTATTCTATATATGGAAAAAATATTGAAATAAAGTAAATTTAAATAAAATTAAATATTTTATAAAATAAAATAAAAATTTTAATGATATATTTGTATTCAGCATATAAATTACTTTGCCGTTGTTTGGAAGGAGCTTTGCAAATTTGTGGATGATATTGGTTTCAGTAAATTACGGCGTATATCCCATATATCCACTGTTTTTCGATTTATAGCAATGATGATTGTGGAGTGTGTGCGACTCCAATAAGCACAGTTTAATGGCGTAAACTGATCTTTAAGTGTTATAAGTGGTTTATAGATACCCTCAACCCAAACACGTATGCACCTTTAAGGATAATAATAATTATTATTCCAATTTTTATATTCTTTTTTTTTATTATTTTCATTTATTTTAATTTCACTTCATATAAAAAATGAGCAGAAAAAAAAAATAGTTTCTTACCAATCGTTTCCGCAAGTAAGATACACCTTTGGTGACCATGGTGAAAAATCCAACATATTAACTGCGCTCCTATGTGCTCGAATAACATCTAAATACTGATGTGCATAGCTTGTTGAGCACTTATATATACAACCCTCGTCTGTCATTATATAGTAAATATCAGCTGCTGTTGGGTGTACAGTTAAATTTAAGCCCTGTGGACTTTGACTTGAAAATTGTATAGCATCTCTTGGTTCTCGAATTTGAATTCCTTCAACCTTACCCTCTACACGTTCCAATATCATTTGAGCATATGATATAAGATATGGTCCACTAACAATACGAAATTTCGTAACGCAACCATCTTGTGCAAGTGATAAAAATGGGTCAATGCCATCACTACCATCTGTCTCATTTTTCTTAATCCATCTAATTGTCACAATACTTTCACAGCCACTTAATGTTTCAGGATTGGAAACACTGACTGGAGGCATATCAGGAAAAGTTATATCACGCACTTCCACATTACCATCGTATAAGCCGATAGCAATTAAAGAAGGCAAAAATTGTGAAAATTTAACAGCAGTACAAGGTAACGGATAATTGTATATACGTTCAGGGTTTTCTGGATTTTTAACGCTCCAAATGCATACCTGCCCAGATTTGGGAACAGTTGATGCTGAAAAGGAGAAAATACCATAAGCAACTGCAAAGATATCGCCATTTGATGGACAGAAATCAATATCAGCCATAGATCTACGTAAATTTCCTGGTTGAGGAAACTCAAAGAGTATTTCAATTTTGTACTTTAATTCATGTTCCTTATCCAAACGGCTAGGCAATTCCATACCACGATAACGACGTAATCCCATCTCATGTTGATTGCTCGCCAGTAGGCGATTCATTAACATATTTGCCTCCTTAAAATGCGGCATTTTCATTATAATTCTAGTCTGTTCCTCTTTTGATCTTACGCACATAGTTAGCACTTCTGTTTGATCTAAACTAAGATACAACGAATGCTTCTCTTCCTCTAATGCCTTGTAAGTATCGTACATTTCATAATACGAAACATATGCAGGTTTTCGTGCAGTTTTTTTCACTCTTGTACTTGTAAATCGAGATTTTTTCAGAATATAATTAGTTTGTGCTTCAGTATCTGTACGTCTTCGAATTCTACCTTTACCTACAGTTAAATAGTCATAGTTTCGATTATCATTCTCTACAATATCAGCTTGTTCTGTGTGCTTTGGTACCGTAGAACTTCTCTGTTCAAAGAAGATAAATTCTTCCGTAAGTGTTAGTTTAACTTTAACATATGAGGGCGTAATATATGTTGTCTTCAGTATAGTTGATGAATCTGATAAGATACTGAGTTCACTTCCCTTGACGTTTAATCGTAATGGTTCAATGCCCACCTATATGAAATGGAAAAAAGTACAAAATCATGAACAAGGTAATTGAAAATTATAGCATATAACTTACAGATTCGACGATATCCTCCATAGTTGCACCAATGTGCACCATTGCTTGGCCTGGCAATATACCTTCATACCTCTTCGGTACATCTCTTGTAACTGTGGTCATTAGATTATGTTCCCTGAGTCTCCTATATATATCTTGGAATGGTTTCAATTCATCTTGGTTACTAAGAAAATCCGGAGTAAGATCCAATATTTCACCATTTCGATAGTCATATGCCTATTAATAATATTAATTACATATATATTATGTATTTTTTTAAAGTGTTTTCAGAGAGTGGTGGACTTACGCTATGCAAGTCGCGGTCTCTAACGCATTGTGAAGCACTTTCCCGAAATTGAGAATCAAAACTGAGTTTCTGGCCGCCCTGCGCAACAACATTTGCCAACACCGCATCATTCTTCAATTGTCTTTTGTACTTTTCTAAAAGATCTTTCTGAAAAGTTTTATAATGAAATATATTAAATATTCTTCTTATAATATTATTTATATACCAACCAAAGGCATTTTCTTATAGTAGTTTTTGCTTATCTATTTAGTAGATACTAATGGATAAATATTAAATAGTTTTGGAATACAAGGTGGAAAAATATAATTCTAAAATATAATTCTTGAAATTTATTCAAAAGTTAAAGAGATTATTTTTGTTTGTTTTATTTAAAAAAAAAAAATAAAGTTGTTTAGTTATTATAATAACATAAAAAAAACAAAAAAGTGAATAAAAATTTTAAGGAGCACAACTTTGTGATAATTATTTCAATACGAGTGCCATACCATACACTTTTAAGATTGCAATCGGATATCTGATGGAACTAAGAATCCTGATTCTTTGGCATGAATTAAATCTTATTAATCTTCTTAAAATAGCTCAACTTTCAAATAAACTCAGGCGTTAAATATAGCAACAATCTACCGACGCACGTAATCATACTAATTCTAAACTATGCAATTCATTCACTAGAAAATCGCGATAATACTAGAGTATAGAGTATAAGAGTGCTTATCAGTACATTTATTAAAATGGATTAAATAATCCATTAAAAAATCAACGTTAAAAATAAACGAAGGTATGACGAAACACATTCAGCTAATAAGGGAAAATGAAAGGTCTAATAACCTATTCAACAATTTTTATAATAGTCAAGTGAGTATAAAGACAGCTAACCGATATTATTTTAAGAGTCTAGAACTTCTGAAATCTAATACAGTCTTCAAAAAAAAGGTCCTACGAATTTTTAAAACATTAATAACGCCAGTAGAGATCTATGAATCTGTTACTTGAATGCTAACAAAAGTAGATGAAGAAAGTGATTTATTTCGATATAAAAACTTTTAAAAAGAGAGAAGAAGAAGGAGTGATAAATAAAGATATTAATAAAATATTTTACTACAAAATTAAAACATTTTTAGTTTCATTAAAGCACAGAGACTATAATAAACTGCCCATATTGTAAAATTGTTTAGACTTTTAATAAATTAAGCACATATTGGGATTTTTTCTTTAAGAGTTTATGTTACCTAAATATTAAAATAAGATTATTGTTTTAATTGTAGTCTGATTATAATTATATACATATACGAACTTATTGCATTTGGAGCAATTCATGAGTAACTCTGACGCCTTTACCAACAGTTTAACAGCTAACATGACTTTATTCTCTAATTTGTGGTGGTGAACATCTGCGCTTATTCTTTTAGACATTTTTGATCTATCTGTAAAGTAACTGATAGTGATTTTTATCTTCTGTAAATCTATACAAAAGCTCTTCGCTGCAATTATGATGTTTACGCTTATTCCGCAGTTTGCACTTGGGACTATGTAGTCTATTTTTTTTCTCAAAACGACAGAAAAAACTTCTATATCTGCGCTCCCTACCCTGGAACTGTCTAGAGGTAAACTATATGCTAAAAAAAATTAACAAAATAAAAGATAAGAATAAATATAAAAAATAAAGACTTAAATACAAACCCTAAACATTTGTTAAAGTCTAATGTCTAATGTTGAGCCTTTTCCGAATTAGTGCATCTGAGTACTTTTACTCTTTGATAGTGGGGAGGTTTCAGCTGAGTCCCACCCATCTCACTGACTAATTTGTGTATTCCTCATAAGCTTCGTGATTATTCAATCACTGATCTAAGATCTGTGTACCGCCCCGTGCGGTTAGTGATTACTCTGAGATTAGACAGTGCTAAGTAGGGCAAACTGTCGGTTTTCGCATATAGCTTAAGGGCTTATGTATTTTTTGACCGAATTTATTCTAAGGTCTCTTAGCATATCATTCGTGAGGATGTGCCACGACACTTGAGCAACTTGCAGCTTCTGGATAGTAGAGTCAGCACCTTCTTAAAGTCGACCGAAATTAAAAGGATTCAGAAACATAAAATATTATTTTTCAAAAAAATGCGTTTTTATTACTTGAACTGGGTAGTTATTAATCTACCTAGTATATACTAGTATTTTATTTTTATATATTAGATTAATGAATTACAACAGTTTGTTACGATAGAATAAAAAAGTCTTCCACCCATTGCTTCCCATTTTTAACCATCTTTCTCAAACAAAACTTTAAGTCCTTTATCATATTTATTCCAAATCAACTCTTTTTTTTTTGCTTTCAAGTTAAATTTCACTAAATGATTTTTACTTTTTGTTATGAAGTAATTAATTAATTTATTTCTCCTAAAGCAGTTAAAATTTGTTTTAATATTTTTATGACTACGCTTAAGCGCTGTCGTGAAAGTAATTAAAATGACTTTTATTAAATGAAGAAAATCCAAACATTTAATTTACTAAATCTCTTCTTTATTTTACAATAAACAAACAGACAATTTCATCCTACACCCACAAACTCACGACGCTTGCTCTTTATCCGGGACTGATTATGAATAATGTGACATCAAAAGATTAATGCCAATCTTAATACAACTTAAAGTGCACACAGGCACGAACGAACGGGAAAGTGATACATTTTGTTGCTTCTTCTTCAAGAATACTAAAAAAAAAAAAAAAATTAACAAATATTACAACAATAATAAAAAAATGTAATGAAAATAAAAAAAAAATAAATTACAACAACAAAGTTGAGTAGGCAAGACTGTCACCCGAATTAATTTAAGGCATAACGTAACGTAACGTAACGTAACGTAACGTAACATAACGTAACATAATGTAACGTTACGATTACGATTGTGATTATAAAGCGCAGAAACGGATAAGGAAGCAAAAAGTTAACGTTACAATAGCAAAAGCAGTGGCAGGCAGCAGGCAGCAGTGAGTAATAATAAATCTGTTTAATTTATCAAAGTTTCATTGTATCCTGACAGTATCCTGCAGCATGTTACCGAAGGCAAAATCAGACACATAGACAGACAGATAGACGGACTGACAAACATGAGCACAGCATTACTAAAATAAATATAATATACCATACACCCGTACATGCGAGAAGACATTGAAGTTGACGAGTGCGGAGGGAGTGCAGAGACAGAGACTGGAGGGAGAGAGATTGGAGGGCAGAAAACACGTTTTTACACAATAAAGAAATCAAGAAAATAATAATGATAAAGAAATAATAAAAATGGTAGTATTTTACGAAGTGCCGCCATTACCAATGTTATTGCAGCCCTTCCACATCGTCGTCGTCCTTATGGTTGGTGTTAGGGTTACCATCAATTGTGCTGCTGAGCGTACTCGTATACGCCATGCTCTTTTTAATGTCAAGTCAAATTACAGATTTTTACCGAGGTTATTTTTTCCTTCATTTAAACATTTCATTATGTTTTCATTTTATTTACATTATTATTTCTTTTGCATAGACTTTTCCATTCGCCTTTACTTGCCTTTACTTGTCTTTACTTGCCTTTAGTTGTGTGCTCTGCTGTTGAGCGCCTTATGGTAGGCAATAATAGTTGTAAAGTTGTTTAAATGCTGCAGGCAAATTTCAATTTCAATTTTATTTTATTTAAATTTTTTTATTTAGTTTTTGTTCGTTTGTTGCAGTTGTTAGTGCAACGATTAGGTCATTGCATGGCAGCTGCATAATAACCAAATACTTTTGAACTCGGGAAAAGCGTTTCATTTGAAGTTTTGACTATGAAATAAATTCTCTACAAGTTTCCTATTTGAACCGCTCATTCACTTTACAGTGTATTTCGAGCAATGCGGCTTTAAAATATTCTTCCATGCTTTTTTTTATGGTAACCTAAAATGGTAGTAACTTGCATAAGTAAGTAAGTGAGTGTAAAGAGTTTTGCGGCTTGTTTGAATAGCAGGAGGATTTAAATATTACAAACAATTCAAACATTTGAAGTTAATTAAGATTACTAAGAGTTTAGCTAAACAATTAAGGAAAAGATTTATTCAAGGAGGCACACAATTACCGAGTGAAAGAAAAAGATTCCTACAAAAACGTGCTAAACATTTACAGAGTAGAGATGGGGAAAATGTGAATGAGATATTTAAATTAAACTAATAAATGATTGTTTTATAAAAATTTGGGGTATTGTTTAATAAATAACAAAAATATTTTTATCTCCATTCATAGATATAATCTGTTTATTAATACGTACAGTGTAAGTAAAGGGTCAAAAATAGAAAATAAATTTGTTACCATTTTCAATTAAATATATAGTAGGGGTAGCAGGGTAGCAGGCAGTGAATAATAACATAATGTATTGTATAACTAAAACTCAAAATAGAATGCATATAAATTCAATAGAATATAAAAGAAAAGTTATCAATAGAAGTTATAACTTCATTATTATTATTATAAACATTTAACATATCAACATTTTCACCCTAACCCCCTTGCCGCAGGCCTAACGAGGGATACTTTTAACATTCGTAGACTAATACGATTCGCAACTTCTGATTTGCCGAGTAGATTATAGAAATTGTAATTCTTCATAAAGCGGTGATTACCACTGGGTAGTCCCGTACATGTCAGTCAAATATTGTTATTGTCATAAGTAGTACTTATTATTCATGCATAGAATAGATTGCACTAATAAAATTAAGTTTAAAAAAAGAAAAAAGAAATATCAACATTTATATCATATGTAAATAGTTGGCAACGCAAGTTTTTTTAAATGGTTGGAGATTGGCAATTCGTAGAAGTCAGGTAGTAGAAAAGTTGTTAACAGAAGAAACAGCTCGTTACCGTTGTGTTCGGTTGCGGCAGTTCTTCAAGAATAATCTGGAACTATCTTATATTTATTTATTATTAACATATATAACTTATAGTAACAGTTTATATAGTCATAACATAACATAAATATAATAAATAGCGTCTACATATCCAAGCTTTCTGTTAGGACAACCTTCTTCTTAATACCCGTTTCCTTTAGTAGGACATAGGGCCGCAACGATTGCGTTCCATGTGTAGCGCGCTTCGGTCATTTCTCTTTCGATTGTCCTTCTCCAAGTTGAAGCCGGTACACCAGAGCGTCTGCTCCCTTGTGGGTGTCCTGTCAAACCTTCTCGTGGAACGTATTTATTTAGCCGTCGGATAGTATGCCCTATCCAACTCCATTTTCTCATTTTAATTTCGGTTACAGCAGCTTTCAGATTTGTTTAGAGCAAAAGTTCTGCATATAATATGTGGTTAGGCCACTATATTTCTAGAATTTTCCGCAGGTATTTATTTAAAAATTTTTGTATCTTCCTTTCTATCTGTTTTGAATGCTCTCATGTTTCGCAGTAGATAAGGATTTTTTTAGTACTATATGTGTCTCCGGTTTCTGTTGTCAGTTACACTTTGAAGTATACTTAAGAGTTACTTATTATAGCTAGGACTTAGGTGCTTATAATATCTGTGACTCATAGCGTTCTTTTTTTCACATATCGTTGCCATTTTTAAGTTACAGCGTTGAAGCGTTGAAACTCTTTAAAAAGCTTGTTTATGAAAAATAGACAAAAATTTTGGCCATCGACTTTATTTTTGTGGTACAGGCACACGTTTACGAAAAGGTTTGCCACCGCTGGCTTATACTATTAAAGCAAACACCTTTTATTGTTCATAGCTTAAATATATATTTTTTACTCTAAATCATGATAAACTAACTACGGGAGTATCCGAATCCTATTTTAATCCATTTGTGTAATTGTGAATATAGATCACAGCATTTCGTATGCGAATACAATTTTTCAGTCGTTAAAATATTGCTATTTTTTGATGGCTTAATTTGTTTATTTTATTTATTTTTAGCTACCTATTCTAATCCTTAAAGCCCGCATGTATCATTCTGAAGCAACAGTACAGCGGTGACCTCAGATTTCGTTGTTTTGCGAAATGAGCGACAAGGCTGACATCATTACTGGCATAAGCCACCGCAAGCTGCAATGCACAACAGCAGCTAGTGACGTTCGTACAGGACTCACCACGAACTACCAACCACGTACCATGAGCAGCTGTGGTCTTTTGAGTGTCCTTATAAGTTGGCTTAATAAACGCTCGTCGGTTTTATATATATGCACGACAGATACAATTTTGTTCTAACAAAATTTGTTATTTTTCGGCTATTGTTTTATTTATATTTTTATTTTATACGTAAGTTACTTTTATTTTTATTTTTATTTTATTTTTTTTTGAATAAAAATTCATAAAATTTCTTTTATTTATTATTTGAGTGAGTGTTGTAAAATGGTTTGTTTTGAAATGACTTGAAAATTGATTTGCTTAAAGTTTGCTACTTCATGCAAAAGCACTGAGCTGTGTTATATGAATATTAAATATACTATTTCTTTATAAAAAAAATTTGTTACTATATGTTATACTATAATAAAAAACAAAATACACTAAAAGTGCACAATGAACAAAGTTCATAATAAAAATAAATATTTAACCAAGTAGCTACAACCACAGTCGCCGTCAGCAAGTCCTTAATAAAATATTTAATATTAGATTGTGAAAACGTTTGTACTTCTAATATGCACCGAATTTAATACCCTGAAGCGTGAAGAATGTATTATTTCCACTTTTATATTCTCATTATCCGAAAAATTTTTTAATTTATGCAGTTTCATTGTGTATTTTCGTTTATTCATTCTCAGATATTTTATATCTTCCGTTTTTCTTTATATTTGCTGCCAACAAAATACCCACCATTTTGGTTTAGATAATTCGTTGCAGCTACTACCACAGTTGATGGACTTCATTGTCCTTAATTTATTTTTGCGGATTTATAAATGAACAAAGGAACATTGTGCTGAATTTGTAATCCAAGTTACCGCCTTTTGTAAGCGCATGTTTCTTTCGCTGGAGTATGGGTATATGCCGCTATCGTCCTTTCTGACGCTACCATCCTTTCTGCCACAGCCGCTGCCTATGCCAGCATCTAAACCTCTACATCTACCTCAGTAGCAAGTTTCGTTTTGTACTGTAAATCATATGACATCGCGTGATTTTTTTTTTTTGTTCTACAACCAAATCCTGTACAAATTTCATTGTCTACTGGAGTGTTAGTGAGCGTGTCCTCTTCATTTCCATTTTTCTTTATTTCCGAAAGTTTAGTGATTTTCGTGTTTAAATATTATTAAGCAAAATGAAAAACTTATAGAAACGTGAAATAAAAAGCAAATCTCACAGTAGTTGATATAGTCGTGCATGGAAATTTTTCTTCAATTTTTTGTTTGGAATTTTTAATCATGCCAGCCGGGACAATAGGAATGTACCGAAAACGTGACAGTCATTCACGGTTCTTCCTGCATTCTTTATTAATTCAAATATTTTTTCTGTTCTTAAATAATTATATTTCTGGTTATATTATTTGACCTTATTAATATTGGTTGGAGGTAGAAAATTTTGTGACTTGCATAAATCCGATAGTTATTTCAATAAGACTTGAATTATGACCGAATCCTGTGGAGTGAATAATAAAATTGGAATTCCAATGGATTTTTGTTTTTGGAAAATCATTTATTTCAATAAAAAATATATATAATTTAACATATTTAAGTTAACTCACGTTCTTAACACTTGTGGTTCCAAATAAAATTATAATTAGTGTGTATATATCATCAAACCACCAAATAATTTGAAGGACCGTTGATAAATATTTATAGTGTATTGTCAGCGCAAAAATTCACTTAATTAAAAATTATTTTTTATAAATTACAATTTTTTTCAGTATCAACCATATCTTTATACAAAAAATAGATAAGTATTACTGGTCTTAATTACTTTAATAGAGAATAATTTCTTAATTATTAAGAATAATTTCTTAATAATATAAATAATTTCTCTACATAAAAATATACAACTAAGCATTTAAGTACTAAGTAAGTAACTAAGTATTTAAGCACTTAGTTTTACTTAAATATAAAATTTATGTATAAATTCTTATAAATATTGTACAGGCTATATTAAAACACAAAACCTCTTATATCGAGAACATAGTAAGTAATGCCTTCTGGGTCAGTGGAAATAAAATCTTAATTACTGACAATTATCTCAATTACTACAAAATCTGATTATTAAATATTATCAGCATCATTAATTTAAGGCGTAAAACCTGTTTATAAAGAGAAAATAGGAACTAATGCTTTCTAGACAGAGCTAAGCAAAACTAATTACATTACAAATTAGCTATAATTGCAAATCAATTACATGTTAATTACAAAATAAATTCAGGATAATTATAACTTGGAGTATACGAGTATGCGAGAATACAATTGTAATTGGAAGTGAATATGAAAATAATAAATTACACGAAATTGGAATTTGGAATAATCTAGCATCTAAATTCCAAATTCAAACTCCTTGTAATTTGGAGTAGATTTTTTTCAATTCCAATTACAAATGTAATCTTACATCTAAATTGCAATTACCCTGCAATTAAAAATTGAAGGTAATCAAATCACAAAAGTTATTAATACTGTACAGTTCTATTTGTAGGTTTTAGAGTCACTGAAATCAAAAACCCAATTTAGTACTGTCGATATTGAATTATTTACCAGTAGTTTCTATGGGCACAAAATCTCTTTACGTTGAAAACTTAGTAAATAATGAGGTCTAGGTGATAAACGGACCAAAGTCCAAATCACTGACTGTATTAAATTGTCACCAACAGTATTTTTTTTTAGCTATAAAACACCTTTATATAGAAGTTATGCTTTCTCAACCTACACTTATTTAAATCAAATCCACATTGGCAGCCTATATTCTCATAAAATATCAGCAGCTGTGTTTTAAGGAATTATATCATTTTATTTGGAGAACCTAATAAAAGATGAGAAAACTTACTGATATGCAAGCATTTGTATGAATCTAGGTAGCGTTATAGTAAGAAGAAATCCAGCACTCTTATTGAGTACCCGATGAATTTATCAGGTTAGTGAAAGGTTTGGAGATGGCACACAGTTATGAACGGAACCACGCTAGAAGATTGAATCTTCCTTTTCATTGTTCCTGTTGCAGGCAAGAAAAAGACGATGAAAGTGCCTCTCATCTGTTTTGTTTAACTAGGGTTACTTTTTTAAAGAAAAACAAAACAAGTAATTTACCAGTAATCATAATAGATCATATCAAAATAGAGTATTGGATGATTTATGAGAAATTATTTCAAAGTTTTTGGGAACCGCTACCGGGAGTGCCGGACATTGTAGTCAGGCAGGCAAGAGCAAACCAGATGTTATGCTATGAAAATGTACATAAATGGACAACAATATAGAAAAACAGTTCATGTTATTCAACATACAACTAACACTACTAAAAATCCGGGACAGATAATGTAAAATTTGTTATTAGTCAGATTATGGTAAATGCTCAATATTCTTTTGAAAACATGATAACTATTTTATTAGAATCAATAAGTAGAGTGTTAAAGTTTTATTTGACACTGACAAGTTAAGGATTCTAGGATGTAAGCTTATCGGAAAAAACAGCTAATTTGGTGTTATATTAGACCTCCTTATAGAAAGTAAAACTTATCGGATAAAGGAGTTGATCAATATTTTTGTATTTAATAAGATTTAGTATTTTATAAGACATAAATATTACTAAATAAATTCACACCTTCGCAAAGTGGTGATGACTACCGCATTAAAAATAACAGTGAAATGAACATCCGTAGCATGATATTTATTTTATCACAGACGAACATTATCAAACGAATTAGCATCACAGCAATGACGAATGATGATGTTTCAGAGAAAAGGGTATTTGAAATGGTAGTCTGAGAAAAAAAGAAATAGGAGAAAACTGATTCTCCGAAAGAGCTATCAAGGTCAGAACCCACTAACCGAACTTGGTATACAAAACTGATGAAGGAGTGTACTTAGTTGGAGAGGGCACAGTAATCTAGTTGTGCCTTCTTTTTCTTTGCTTGTTGAAACTCAAGTTAGAGTCAGTGACCACTTGGGTAATAGGTATATATCTGAAATCCGTTGAATTTGAATAAATGCAAGTTTTTCAGATAATTTTATAAAAATATCTGCATAAGGAATATTTTTTTTTAAAATATAACAATATTAACAATGTATACAATAAGTTTTTCCACAAGTCTAGAAACTTTCAATATTGGCATGTTTAACAACAAACACTGAACTTTAAAAATTTTCATAATAAAGTAAATTAAAAATATTTTCACTTATTAACATTAATACATATAATAAAAAAATAAAAAAATTAAAAAAAATCTACATTCCCTAAAAACTTTCATAAATAAATTCTTTATACTTTATGCTTTTAGGTGGTGGTGGTGCAGACGTATCAAAGGATCATTGCAACAAAACTGTTGATATCTTCGAGGACGTAAGCTCACCCGAAGTAAGCAATCAAAATGTAGGAAGACCGCTCACATGTTGGTATCGTTTCCGCACACTAAAAGGTGCACCCAGAGACTTCGTATTGCGCTTACGTTTTAAAAAATTCAAAGTAGGCACACTCCTGAATGCGACCCACTGCGATGGCGGCTATTTACAGGTAAGTCGTTAATACCAGCATAAAAAGCCTATAAAATTTATTGCAAAATTTTTAGGTAATTTTCTCATAAAATATGTAAGGAAATATAAAAAAAATTGGATATTTTTATATGAAACTCAGTGCATAAAACTGCAAAAAAAAAAAAAAGTAGAAAAAAATCCATAATAAAATTTGAAAGGCACTTGATATATAAAAATGTTGCAAAAATTTTAATAAAATCTCTTAAATGCCTAGAGACAAGTATTTACAAGGAAGTCGAATACAAGAACCGTAAGAAAAATACCAATATTTTATGCTTCGTATAAATATAGGCCAGCACATATATGTACACAGGGGAATTCTGATTTATGGCAACCAAGAAATCAAATTAAATTTATTGCCTTATGCATTCTCTACACTCAGCAAACGCTTTCGTAAACATATTGCTAAAGTCCTTCATTTCTTTTTATACTTTTATTTTTTTACTCCTTTATGTACTTTTTGTCCTTTCGTGATTTGTTTATAACTGCTATAAAAGAAAATGAGACATATTTAATATCTCACATCGTTAACTTATATTATATATACTCGTAAGAATATTAGAGAAACTAAAGATTATATTTCCAATATTTTTTTTATTAACTGAATTTAGAATTCAGTATGAGATCTACCGAACTTAATACTGGATTATCTTCTTTATAGTTTTTAATGTTAGGGCAAATAAACCACACTCGTGATTGAGATTTTATTCTAATATTTATTCTAAGATTTTATTTGAACTTTACTATTAGGCATGATATGCAATTAGGTAGGTATGATATACAACTTGATTCGAATTCCTTCTATGGTACATCTTATATCACTACATCCCCTTAATGTCCATGATTTGTCGTCACGTAGTTGGCAATAGCCATAACTTGCCAGATGTTCGGATGTTTTATTGTGCATTATGACAGGTTATTAACAAAACTTGATATAAAAAGCTATTTACTATGTCTACTGAAATATGTAGAACTTTTACTAAATCTTTCTCTTAGTCAATCCACGATCTTTCAAATCTACATCCCGCATTTTGCGATACTTTCTTGATAATTATGTAGTTGATAGATATCTTTAGGATATGGCCTTTAGGATATGTACGTCTTCTTTGAAATAAGCGCTCCCTTTAACAAACTATTATTTTTTGATGAAATATTTTTTGTCCGTTTTCGAAATACTGATAGAATATTTATGATAGAAAATTTTTTCTCTCATACTTTACACCCTTCGTCTTCTATTATTCACCTCTCCCAATGGAGCAAATGGTTTATACCATCAAATGGGTATGACCGATCTAAGGCCATTTGTGCAGTCATACCTTTTCAGAAGTTGAGATTTGCTTTTTAACATCCCAAAGATCAGCATTGCTGATACGTTTAGGCCAACAGATGTAGAGATTCTAACCCAAGCATTTATTGGAAAAAGTTTTTAAACGGGTGGAGATGACGGTAGTGTGTTTTCAAGTCTCACATTCATAATAGAGCATTAATTTGATGTTGGAATTATTGATGCGAAGTTTGGTTTTTGTAGAGTGGTGTCGAGATTTCCAGATAGAACAGACTATATTTTGCTACATTGTAGTTTGATTAATATTCAAATAGCCTCTCCCATATGATTTCTTTTGATAATCCAAGGAGTCAACTCCTGCATTTGAGACATTTTAGTCAAAGTTCTATTCATATCTACGTTACCTAAGGGTGTCTCTAGTTTAACAATTGTATTGGATGTCACAAAGTAGTGCTTATATATAAACAACCAATAAAAATTTTTATTCAAAACACAACTGTTGCTCCATCAATAAATTCTTTTTATTTCTTTTGAATTGTATAATGAACAAATTATAATATAATTCGTAATTCTGTTCTACATACAACTGTTCTGGAACCTGTAACACAGACCGACCAGCAATCGATTAAAAATGTATGCAAACTAATACTGTTTTATCGAGATTAGGAACTTGATTCGAATAGGAACCAGTATTATGAGTAATTTTTAAAAGGTTTAGCCGTTAAGCTTATAAAAAAGTAATAATTTAGAATAATTCTACTTTATAGCATTGAATTTAAAAAACTAATTTTACTGAATTCGAAATCTAATTCCCTTCCATAGATCAATTCTATAATTGACTATTTACTAATAACTACTCAATCAAATACATGAGGAGATATTTTATTAAATAATAAAAAAATTGGAATAATTTTGATTTATAATTAAATAAAAAATTTGTAACAATATTATATTATGAGTACCGCTTCACAAATGTCACCATGACCGTTCTTACTTTTTCATTTTTGTATTATACTTATTTGTATTTTATTGTCTTTATCGCATATGTACCCTTCTCCGCCTTTTTTGTGTAATGTGTCATATTTTTTTCACTCCTTAAATTTATAAGAAGACGCGCCCCACATAAATGATGACATATGGGAACATACGTTAAGTGACAACTTCATATGCGAAATCGTATGCTGGTCTCGTGATAAGGGTCAGACAAGTCTGTCAGTCGAGCATAGAATCAACTATGGTCAGTCACTCTAGAGATTTAGTTGTATATTTTTATTAACGAAATCTTTTTGAAAGACAAAAAATATATTCATACTATTTTAACTAATATTTATTTATTTAACTTTTGTAGATTGTTGATGGCAATGCCAAAACGGATGTCTCAAATCGACGCGAGCCAGGCATGTTTTGTGGTGAAGCAGAGCAACCACAAACCTTTATTAGTGAGACAAGTTATGTGAAAGTGGTTTTCCACACAGACAACTTTACAGATCAGGTGAGTTAAAAAATAAATTATAATTAAATAATTATATATTTTATTTAAAATAATATTATTATATTGGAAGAAACTTTAAAAATATATATAAAATTAAATAAATAATAGACACATAGCTTCATTTTGAATATATTTGTTATTATAATAAATTTTAACCAATTTTTTTTAAAAAAATATTGAAGAAGTAACTTGTGATATATTAAAGCAAATTGCGCATTGCTAAAATTCTGTACATAATCGTTAATCATCTAAGAAACTTATTCAGCAACAAATTTAAAATCATCTTTCCATAAACGATAGTATCATGATTTTTAAGTATCTTTAAGCAGATTGGTTTTTAATGAATTGCATAAAATTTAGTATCGTGGAATAGAAAGATAAATGCCAATAAAAGCAATAAATGGAATGGAGGAAGAGAAGATGAAATCACTGCTTTATAATATACTGAAGGTGTACTTAAATCAAAATTGTTTCTTTTTAACAAATTTTTTATTAAATTTTTTTTAATTCTCTGAAATAAATTGATGTTAAGTAAAAAGTCTTAATATATTTGACCGATAAATAGCAATAAATGCTATGCCACTTAATAATAGGATTATATATAATCGAAATGAAAATGCAGTGCTCATTATTAGGGAGCACACAGGACTAATAAACTACAAAAGAACGGATTAAAGTGATAGGATCACGTAATAAGAAGAAACCAAAGTCATATTCCGAGAGGAATTATTAGAATTTAGTAGTAGCCTAAAAAGGAAGACGATTTCAAGTAACTTAGATCAGCGGCACTTTAAGGAACATAAAGAAATAGAAAATGATAACAGTAAGTAATTGTTCTTACCATTTTAGGACAAACAGGATTACTGCGTATATGGCGAAGAGAAAGAAGAGAGGTTGTGATAGATTTTATTACATCCACCGTATTCACTGGATTTGTCTTCGTTTGATGTTTAGATATATTCTAATTGGGAATTAAGTCTTGCTGCGTAAAAATTACAATTGGATGCTAAATATTCTTTGCAATGCATAAATATTTTGACTTTCAACATATAGGATAATAGGATATAGGATAAGAACAAATCCCAGAAAGATGACAGAATGATGTAATTAATTCACCATAAAAGAAATGCAATAGATTCGAATTCGGTAATTGTAGAGCAATATTACTGTCCGTATTGTTTCATAAGAAATAGCAATATAAAAAGATAAATATCTATCTGGGAAGAAATGAAAATCGAGTGCTAAGTAATATCTGCAACTTTTGAATATTTGTAGAGCAATATTACTGCTAAACGTAATCGACTATATTTTTTCCATCACCACATTAAGAACCAAACTATTTAAAGGTTTAAATGATTCCTTCTGTAAATACCATAATAGTTTTATAATAAATAATTCAATTATAATAATTAATGAAGTATTTTTTTCATAATAATTAATGATTTAATTTTAAGAGCACGACACGCTACTCATATTTTTTGTCGACTTTAAACCTTGGCCTTAACAGAAGATCTGAAATTCCTAAATGTATAGTTGGTTCCCAGAAACGATTGTCATAAGTCCCAAGACAACTTTAAGATATTATCGCCTTGAAATATTGCATGACATCTCTGTACTGTGCTACCAACGTACAGAAAACATTTTTCGCAGCATCTTTTAGGCGCATTCTTAAACTTATTTGCACTAAATACTCATGATATGAAATGTCATGCTTTGTACATATTTCCCTCTATTGCTACCTTAAGTATTCTAACATAATTACAAAAGTCTATAAGTTTCAAATGATTTTCAAATAAATTTTAAAGAAATGCTATAAAATATACAGAATTAAAACGAATTAAATAAAGCATCCAGTTTGCGTTGCCTTCCTTAAGTCACCCTTTGCGACAAATTAATGAAATACAGCGTTATCAACTTAATATCTCACTTGAGCCTCTGATTGCAGAAGGATGCATATTCGGGGATGCGAGTATCAGCTGCAGATTTCTCATTTATGTATTCAACCAACCATATTTACACACAAGCACACATATATACAAAAATAAACGTACGTATACAACTTAAAATGGATCTGCGTCTGCAGTTTATGCTCATCAGCAATAATGACGTGTGTCATGTCCGTGTCAATATTTAATAAGTTGGCTGCGCATAAATGACGTTTATGCTTAACAATGCGGATTTATCGAATGCCATATGAGGCTGCAGCCCATATCTGCTAGCAAAGCCATTACAACGAAGTCGAAGGCAACCGGTGCAGCAATGGCATCAGTGGCATCAGAGGCATCATGTGAATCGGGCTACGTGTTGGTGCAACTGTAAACTGCATTAAATGTGCATTCGTATGCGTTTTGGCATAAATTCATTTAATTTGCTCTTAATTTTTGTTTTCATTATTATTTTTGCTTTTTTATTTTTAAATCCTTTTGGATTTTTGTCAATGCCGACGCTGTCATTGCTGTTAATTTCCCTTTGAATGCAATCGTATAAATTAAAAGCCCCAATTCAATTGCTTACGATTTTGTAGTGGAATATTTCGGTGTTGCGTTTGTACCACAGATTTATTATATATTTTTTGCGGATATCATTTGTGTTATTGATTTTCGTCAATTCGGTTGGCATAACAGGCTTAGCCATGCATATGGAGTATAGTTTTTGGATGTATGTGGTGCCGGAATTGAGATATAATATAAATATTTAGTGTGATGGCTCGAAAATATGATAATGAGTACATTATGAATGCAGAAGTAATTAAAAACAAAGCTTTTAAAAGATAATAAAACCTTAATGAATTCAATGGAATCTCAGTTTTATGAAAAATTTAATTTTCATATGGTATTTAATTATTTTATTTTTAATTATGAGAAGCTTTACTACTAATATTTACTATTAATAGCGCGAATAAATTTGGTGAATAAATTTAATATAGTATTCAAAAATGTTAAGAAGATTTTAGGAATATATAATTATGCAGTGTGGATTTTGTAATTTAGAAGTATGTGTGCCTAGATATGGTTATAGAAAAACTTGATGAGAACTTGTTAACAAGTATTCACCTGAAGTTTGATCAATCGGAATTCTAAGGGGATTTAGAATGTATGCATGATATTTGTGTGTTGAAATAAATCGTCGAACATATAAAAAAATAAACATCTTCGACTAATGAAACAGGCTTGTCTGATCAATACGTTAAACTACATATATTTCCAATAATAATGGCATTTTACTTGGAATTAAAACCATTTCGAGACTAATTTCTTTCATTAAAACACATTCATGTCGTTTAAACTATGTAGCTGTGTTGGTTCAAGTTTTGTGTCAGTCTGTGACTCTGTTCTTCGAATCAGTACCGCCTTGATTATCTAATCTATTTAATTCTATTAATCAGTATATACCATCATGACTACAGTGTTCCGCTCCTTGAGAGCCCGTACCCTATTGATTTTCTTTTCTATTCAATGATTCAATACTCCATTAATTTTTTGTTCTATTCTATAAGAAAGAATAAGAATAAAAATAGAAACGTAGACTGAGTATACATATTTTGCAAGAAATTAATTTAGATTAAAAACATTTAATTTACATATTGAATTGTGGCGAAACTTAACCACCTGAAGAATAGCTAGGATCATGTGTAGACATATATACGAAGAAAAGTACATCAAGGATGCTTTATCGTCTAGCCGAAGAAACTGTAGAACATTAATTGTTGTATTAACAGGTCACTGCCTAGTCGCAGCCCATGCGCATAAACTAAACCTATTTTGCAGTGATACTTGTAGAAGCATCTTCTGTGTAACTGCCCGGCTCTCTCAAGAATTCAACGAAAACACTTGGGGTTTGTCAGTTTTGTAGGACTGGAACTTATATCTAAAGGTTGCTGTTGAAGTCCTAATAAAATCTGCTAATAACACGTTCATTATAAGTGATGCACACTATCGCAAAAAATAAGACTCTGATCTGGTATCGCAATGAACCTTAATGGTCTACGTATCTTTTGGGTCTTAATGGTCTTTTTTGGTCTTTTTGGTCTGCAAGTACAACCTAACCTAAGCTATATATTGAATTATAATAATCGAATTGTATTGAAATTTAACAACTTAAAATAACTTTAATTATTTAATTCAATTATTCTACAGCTGCTTTACGATTTCGTTCTAATATAATACAGAAAATGAATTTGTTAATGAACTTTCACAGCAAATTAACAAAACTACAAGTTCGAACAAGCTACCCAAGTACGGTTTTGGGTCAGTTGGATAATGAACGCTGGATCTAAGCTACGAATTTGGCAGGATACTCTTAGTTCAAGTCCAATCACTCATATTTACAGTGTTAAGTAGTTATGAATAATTAAATATAAGAAATAATTCCAAAAGACAACTGATATTTGACAATAATCGAAACAGCTGTATGGTGAGCTAAGAATCCAATTAATTAAAAATAAATAAACGTTTTGTTGTTGAAATACACTACTGTTCGAAACCTCTCTATATTAAATTTTTTATTGCCATAAATTTTCGTTATTTTTCGTTTCGTGTCGATAATCTCTTCTTTAATAATAAACCTATGCAACTAAAAGCCTGACACTTCAAGAAATCCTCAAAAATGTTAGTAAAAATACAAAAATTTCATATTTCATTTAAAGGATTCTCATCGCACAAACATAACTAAAGAATTTAAAACAGAGTCATTGAGGGAAAATTTAACATTTCAGACAAAATGCAGTTCATTGACTCTTAGTTTGAAGTAAAATTTTTATAATGCATACAAAAAGAATAATTTATACTTTTAAATACTTTCCCGAAATGATTTTCCACAATTTATGTTTATAAAAACAAATCTTTCCCAACTGAGTATGGTATATAGAAAATGTATTCTCTTATCTGAATGCATACATAGCCAGGAAAAAGCTCATAATGTTTATACAAAGCGCATATCCTTATTGCTTTCTATCCTTTATGAAATACTTGACAATGTAAACTAAAACAAGAAAAAAAATGGCATAAATAAAGTAGAACAATAACAACAACAATAACAACAGAAAGAACTACGGCAAAAAGTTTTCATAAATATTTATGACTCTATTAAGGTACACAAGACACCGAAGAATATAGCAACTATAGTACATTGAAAAAGTCCTTAAACCTCAGAAGAAGAAACACGCAGGAGTACATTTTTTTCCTCTTAACAAACCGATGTGAGGTACCACAACGCGTGTGGCAGCACTTAAATAATGCATCAATGCCACTGTGAGAACGGAGTCTGTGTAGTCAGTATAGTCAGTGGGTAGGGAAGAAATTTGCGACAAGGCTTCCCTTGTCTGAGGAAATTGAACAGACAGCAAGAACAAAAGAAAAGTTATGGAAAAATTTTTAAATCAAATATTAAAAAGTTGTGGAAAAAGTTATGCATGCACATGCATAAGATGCGGATTTAGACAGTTTCAGTTGCATGCATGTGCAGGAAGAAACTCCTTATAAATCAGCTTGCAGCAGACAATGCAAATTTGTACTGCAACGACTTTCATTTGCTTGATTTAGCACGTTAATTGAATCCTGCCGCTCAAAAAGTTAATCCTTTTTCAGTTTTTCGCTGAGATAATCCAGTTTCGCAGATTTGATTAATGTCGTTTTCTGACTATATCCTTAACATATTTATAGTACTTAAATTATAATGATGAGTAAATGGGAAAACGTTTTCAATATAAAATAAAATATTTATATAAACCTCTTATAGAAAGAGAAATGCATATATATATATACTCAAAAGACATATACATATAAATCTCTTATAGAAAGAAGAGTCTATGTATATATTCAAAAGGTACATATATATATATATATATATATAATCAAAACACTGATGCTATAAAAATTAATTACTCTTTTATTCAATTATAGTTTTGTTGTGATTTATGTTTGAAGGTACCAGAGTTGGTTCCTAGTCACGAGTTAATTAAATATCATTCAAAAAATTATTTTAGTGGCGTTTTGAAGATAAAATGAATAATCAATCTTTCGATTGAAATTCTATTCAAATTTTTATTTTAGCATATTTTATAGATCCCGATATTAATGTGAAATGCAACGTCATCAAACATCCACCATGGGATATCTAACTGTCACATTCGAGAAGCATTCAAGAAGATTTGCGTTGACATGTCGAGACAAAGCTTGGCTATAACTTATCAGGTTTTCGTTTTCCAATCATCAAAAGCTTAAAGATACTCTACATGAAAAGGATTCTTTCCATCAATCTATAAAAACAAGTACTGTAGGGACTATTCTCATGACGTTACCACCTAATTTACATAACAAAAACGTGAATTTATACAAACAGAATTTAATTTTATGCGTGACATTTAATTTCATGCCGGTACGATTTGTGACACCATTCTGTTGAAATATTATATTTCTCATTTCTTCCATTTCTATTTCATCCATTTCTTCAAATTTTGTTAAAAAAGGTAGCTATATTAATCAGAATTGAGAGTTTGTTTCACACCTTTATTTCAAAGAAAAGAAATGCATTTTCAGAGAAATGCATCTTATATATTCAGACCAATTATTCAATAAGACCAATGAGAATCGTAGTACAAGCAATAAAATATTATCATTTATTTGTTGATTTTCACCTGTTCCAGACACGTCAATTATATTGTCGTATCATTTATCAGCCCGATCAGAAATTTTTCAATTCTTGCAAGGAGTTTAAAACATCAGGCTTTGAACGAGCTTTAATTATAGGCATTTCAAAATTTCATCTGCTGATCGGTTCCCATCAATTCTTCTCTCCAGGAACATAGCAGGAAGAAATTTTGTGATATTCGATATTTGTCAGTGAGGCGTAATATTTCATTAGAATTTATAGTTTCGTTGTCATCAATTAGATTGCTTTTATTGCTTGCAAACATAGTAATATTTGATAGAGATATTTTTTCGATTGCGAATATAACAATCTGCAAGTATAATGAAGTTAATGGGTGGATTATATTTATAATATTCGAAGAAATTCCTGCTCTCATTTTATACTCCATATTTCATCCAAGTGTCTTAATAGTAACTTTACCGTCACCTCTCACAGATCTCGACTCTCAGCATTGGAAACTAGTATTAGATTTCAGTATTGTCGTCATATAGTCTATAACTGATCCCAGATCATACTTTTTGAGCCCCTCAATTTGGTTCCTTACAATATTGTATCTTATTTGTAATTGACTCTGTTCCATTATTTCCTCTTCAGTATTGAGAGTGCACTTATAAAAGACATAAAGAATTATATACAGCAGTAACGACTAGAAGTGTAGCAACAGTACCAACACCTTGGCAACCCTATCAACCATTTGGTGGTAATTTTGTAAAATTGATACTTTAAGTACTCTGAAGAAACACGGCTTTGTTTTTTTTTTGCAGTAAATTAATGAATAATTTTCTAGATATTTAAAAAAAAAAATAAGAAATAACATCTTATTCAATCTTCTTGAGGCGTACTAGTAAGAGTGATTATTAAACGATCTATATTCTAAAACAGCGAGCCTCAATTTATATATGTGATATCTTAAATAATAGTTCTATCAGTTATATGTCACTGAAACAATGCTCTAGGATCAAGAAATATTTATATTATTATTTAATATATTTTATATTAAATATTTATATTATCAGTTAGTTTAATATATTACATTTTCAATAACTTTATATGTTTCGGTCTACATTCTAATATGGCAAGCCTCAAATTAAACTTATGGTACCTGGGAGAACAGTTCTATCAGGCTTATGTGACTGACACGAGGCTACCAAAACAATATCACGAAAAATACAACATTTTACATTAACTTTATAATATCATCCATTCAGTAACTTTAAATGTTTCCTTTTTGAAAAGTCAATACAGTGACTTCTACAGTGATTTTAATGACATAAATTGTGGTAGTGATTGATTACTCACCTAGAATAGTAATGCTATTCTGAAATTGTCAAGTATTGCGAGTACCAGTACCACAATTGATGATGAAAGTTTTTCATAGTGGAGCTCAAGACCTCAGTCCTATTACCAACAGCTGCCACTATTTTCTTTGCAACTACATAAATAAATGTGAAAATTGTTCAATAAAGCAATAAATTTTTATTTATAGTTTTTTTTAAATTGCTTGACATTTTCAGCTTTCTTATTTTAATTGGTCTATCAATTTTACTTACTTTTACATTTCTACATTTATAATATTGTCAGCAATAATTTATATATTATATTTGGTATATTTTCACAGACATATTTCACATTTGATTCCCGAGCCGAACAACAAACGGAAGTTTATTTGCGTTATGGACAACATCCGGAATTGTATCCAAATCGGCGTGGTGAAGTAGTACAAGGGTGTGTATACAATAAAAATAAAAATAAAAATAAAAAAGAAAATAAAAATAAAAAAAATAAATAAAAATAAAAATAAAAATACGAATAAAGGAAAAAAATAGCAAAAAAAAAAATTCGTATGAAACCAACAAAAAATCGGTCTCAGGCCAAAGACTGCCACACATATCGACACAACAACCACAAAATATATACAAAATCAAGTGTTGCCAACTGCTGGCAAATGCTCGTAAGGCATAAAAATAATTTAATTTTACTATTATGGCTTACATAAGTGCTTTTCCGTAATCATATTTTCAATATTAATGAATGACAGCGGCAGAGTTGCTGTTTCTATAGAAAACTAAAGAAATCGAATTACACAAAAAGTTGTTGATAAACATTGATTTCGTCTGCAACTTTTCCCCTTCCCACCTTCATTCCGAGTCTTCTCAGTTGTAGGCAATCTGTATATTCTTTAAATTTCTTATTACCAAAAAAAGGTCCTTTGTAAATTTTAGAAATAACGCGGAAAGCTACTTAAATATTTCCTTTTCCCTCGACTTCTATTGCGCCATTTTGAATTGTATGCGCTTTCCATTGAACTGAAATTGTTTCCATTAGTATTTGTTTCCTTCCCTACTTATTTTTTAATTTTTTATTTCATAAACATAATTTTATTTATCTTTAGAAAAATATACAAATAAGTGAATACGAAACCATTCGAGAGCAACATTTTGTTGTATTTTATTTTTAAAATAATTTTATTGGTTATTAAAAGTTCATTGAAAAGGTTTGTTCCTCAAAGTTTATGGCCTTTTTTTATTGACAATGGAAGACAGTAGCTTACTTGGACTGACTTTAAATTTTATTTAATTTTTTTTTACTTTTTTTGCTGAAATCCTTGAAATTCCTTTTGCATTTCAAGGATAAATACAGAAGTTATTGTTAAGCCTGAACTTATATCTTGGTTTGTCGGATTGAAACTACATAGACTTCATGCTTATATCCTTTGACATTTTATTTAAACTCTTTTTTATTATTTCTTTCTTTATTTTACTTCAACAGTTTTATAAACATGAAAAGGACTTAAAGCATAAACGTCACTGGTTTGAAAAGAGAATTTTTATGCAGACTTTAGCACTTTTGCCATAGTCCTTCCTCATAAAAGTTATGTTTCTGTTTCAGTATTTTTGTAATATTTTCTTATATTGCATATATATTTAAGACGTAGTGATACTGCAAATTTTTTACATAGTTTGAATAGTTTTAATATTCTTTTTTTAAGTATCAATACAGTTTGTTTTGAGTTTTGCAGTTCTAACGAACCAAATTCAAACTAAATAAGTATTTATTGCAATAAAACATAAAACAATGTCTGTAAAAGTTGAAAGAATATTTTTAAACTAATGTTTTTAAATCTTATGACAAGGGAGGCCAAGGTTCACACTGAACTGTAGTGCCAAATAAGCTGAAGTAGTCTTATGACAAGAAATTCATTTTAAATAGCAAATGGGTGAAGAAATTTTCAAGTCCAAAAATATATTTAATCCAGTGACTCCTTGGACTGACCATGCTACTGCTTCAGATTTCGTCAAATATCCAACAGTGTTCTTTCTGAACATCCATTGAATTAATTCTCTTTATATATTTTAGTTAAGTTGATTTAAGGCAAATAAATATAAATCCAACATCTCCGACAGTCATTCATTGTCGTATTCTTTATTTTTCAATATATTTTTGAGTAACTCCAACTCATTTTTTTTGTTAGATTTATGGCATAATACTTATATATGTTAAAAAATTTTGAAATAAAGAAGAAATATCTAACTATCCAGCTATCTATATTTGGCAGGGCACGAGTTCAATCCCTGGTACTTGCAGTCTTAAAAAATTATTTACAAATAAGTAAATACAAGAAATGATTCCAAGGCCCATGAAATGGGTATTTGGCAATACTCAAAACAGCTGTATGATCAGCCAATAACTAATTAAAAATAAAATAAAAGTATAAAAAGAATTTTTGTTTTTATAGTTCACTATTTTTCAAAACCTCTCTACTTAAGATATATTTTTAATAATAAGAAGGCACAATTTTGTTTTTTTTTTATAATTTCTTTTAACCTTCATTACTAAATTACGCTAGTTATAATATTTGCTACTACTTAAATTTCATTCCACCTTTTATTTTTAATTTTTCTATACATAGGACATTCAATAAATATAGGATGATCTTAAATAAAAAAGTTAAATAAAGCCGTACTCAATATATAATCAAATCAATAAGCCGTAGTGTGAAGATAATATTTAGGACTTAATTTTTAGTTCCGTCAGTATAATCAATCATTTAGAAAAGAGTACTATCCTTCTTAAAAATAACAGACCTCTTAAAGGGGATAACGCTTACAAATTTATTTATTGAAAGATTTCAAACCTCTTTATTCTAGAAGTGGTCAAACTTCTGAACAGGTAAATGATAATCCACTGTTAGACGTTATTATTCAAGTAGCACTTAAACTACTACTAAGAAGAATAAAAGTTAGGAATTTCTTCATTCGATGATTTTGAATGCACAGTTAAACGTCACCATTCCATTATACTATCAAACTAGGTACTAAAGGGGATGATGGTTCAGAATTTCTTCATTGGAAGATTTTAAATGCACTATTGGATGTTACCATCCTAGCATCAAACTAACTGCTAAAGAGGATAATGGTTACACATTTCATAATTCAATGATTTTGAATGCATAATTAGACATCAACTATTATTCTACTTCTAGAATAATCAGAGGCTTTATCTAGAAACCTTTATATCACTGAAGAATCTGAAAATATAATTTCAAGTACTGTAATATAGACTTCAAAACCATTTTCTTAAAATTTTCCAAAAATAATTTTCTTTAATTACAAAAAATTTTATGTAAAGGTTTTGAAGAGTATTGACTTGCAACAACAAAAATTTTTATTTCTTTTTAGTAAATTTAATTTTATTTATTATTATTAATATAATTATTATTATTGTTTTTATTATAATTTTATTTTCAATTAATTAAAAATTAAACTAAACTAATAAAAATTTTAAAAAATTAAAAAAAGAATATAAATTTTTGTTGTTGCTATTCGCAACATTTCTATTAAGTTAAATAGTTTCTATTGCGTAAAATATTCACTGCCGTTATAACTCCAGTTAAAATCAAATTTAATGAAATATTTATATTAAAAAAAAAATAATTATATAAAAAGATATTGTTTGTCTTAGAAAAGGATTCTTTCTTATTTCAACACGATTTTTATTATTTTTCATTTATTTTTCTCCACTCATTAAATCTATTACAAAATTTTTTCGTTATTATATTATTTTTATTTATTTCCCTTATTCTATATCAGTTACTTAAAAATTAATAAGCTTACTTGTTCCCAAGTATCCTTTCACAACAACCCTGTTTAGATCATTTTCGTGGTTATAAATCATTTCAAAAAAAAAAATAATAAATACTAAAAAAATTCTTAACAAATATATATTTTATAGGTAAAAATTTGATTTGAAATTTTTTTATTTTTATTTTGACGCATTTGTGTTTCTCAAAAATTTCATGTAATCATTCTATAATTCTTTCCCTCAATTTCTTTTTTTGCAGATCCTATTGTGAACGGGAATATCGTGATTGCCGTCTACAAACCTGCTATGTTCAATCACCCGCATATCCTGGCTTATATCCACGTGCATTAAATTGTCGTTATAAATTGCATACGAGACAGCCATATATCAAACTATATCTACAGAACGAACAGTTTGCGGTGGACGGACAGAGGTAAGCTGCGACAAATCCATACGAATGCATATGTAACAATATGTAGCAAAGTATTTGTTTGCATTTGTCAAGTAAGAGAAGGAAATAAAAAAAAGAAGTGATATGGATAATACCAGTTGATAAAAACAAAAATAAAATGGTCACAAAAACTTAAGCTTAAGCCATTACAGAAGTCAAGCCATACTTCTAGGCGCGCTAACAAACTCGTTGGTTTAGTACAAAAACAAAAATGGCAACAAAAAATTTCCAGAAAAAACCTAACGAAAATATATGTAGCCTTGCTGCAAAATTAACACCAAGTTAACACTTTGTAATTTGTCATTTTGGCACGCTCACTGACAGCACAAACAGACTCAACCCAAGCGGTACATGCACATAGGCATGAACGCACGTTTGCATTTGGCATTTTGACAATGGCAATTTGACAGCTTAAGAAAAATTGGCACATATTTAGGTGCTGTTTTTGGACTCTTCACTTAGTGTTTCCTTTTTTGTTTTCTTACAATTTACAGTCTATTTTTTTTTATATTTTTTTTGATTTTTATGCAAAATTCATTTTATGTGGTAAAGTAATTTTTGCTTGTCTTAGCAACAAAACTTTTGTTTGTGGCTTAACGCCATAATTGTGTAAAAAACATTCAAAACATTTCAGTTAAATTGCCACAAATTAAAACAACTCCTTGTACCTTGCACCTTGCACCTTGCATCTTGCACCTTGTTATTGCAGCACGAGACAATTTTTTGTCTACTTACTTCTTACCAGAAAAAAAGTTCAAATTTATTACAAACTTGTATAAAACTTGCCATTTAACTCAGCAATTTTAGCTAACTAAACTATATAACCCATTTCGTATTCTGAACTTCTACGGAAAATGCAAAACTTTGGCTGCTCACACATGCACCTTAATAAAATTCTCAGTAGCATTTACCGTCCGACAAAAACAAGGTCCTTGCGTAAAAGTCTAACAAACAAGAAGCTTGCAACTTCTGTTACAAACAAAATATATTGCATACTTTTCGGCAAAAGAGGATAAAATACGTAGTTCGAAGGCTACACAAGGGTGAAGGTTAAGGTTTTTTCAAAATTTATATTTCGTATTTTTAGGCAAAAACCCCAACTGCACATCATATATGGCAGCTTTTTTTGCATATTGCTTGCCTTGGGAATATCTGCACACAATAAAAAAGTTAAAATGATAAAAGTCCTTTCAAAATTTTATTGCTGATATGTGAACTACTCGTAGCTCCAGTCGAGTTGCACACTTTGTTTTCTTTTGCTGACTGTTATCAAATATTTTACATTATATGCAACTATGTTATAGAAAAATGAATTATAAAAATTATGTCCCTAATAAACATTGAAAATTTTAATATTTCCCCAAAATCAGTCACATAATAATTTTTTGATATCAAAATATTATTAAAAACTTTTTCGCATTGCAAACGGAAAAGTTTCATCTCCTAAAAAATTAAGCAAAGTTTTTCTCTCATTTATAATCAATGAGTTATATTATTATAGCACATTCAAAATATTATATATGTTATTATCTCTACACATAAGGGTACATAGATAGATTCGCACAAATGAATACGAGTTGAATGGTAGAAAGTTTGATGATATCATTTCGCTCTGCTTAATGGTACACAATTTGGTAATTTTGAAACACTTTAGGGAGAATCAAGTGAAAATTTTTCAAATAAAAAATTGACATTTAAAAGTTTTTTAAATTTATTTGCATTAATATTATATGTGCATAATATAAAACTATTGTTCATATGAGTTTTCATAAACTAATTATTATGAGCATGAATATTTAAAAAGCGAATATAAAAATAATATTAAATACATTTTTTAAAAATTTATCGATATATTAATAAATATGCAGCATGAGTATATGTATTAAGTGTGAATATAAATATTATTCTATATAAACGTTTTGAAAATTTAACGATATATATCGGGCAGGAATATTTTAAATGCAAATATGAAAATAATATAAAATAAATATTTTAAAAATTTATCGATACATCGATATTAATCGTGCAGAAACATTTTAAATGCAAATATGAAAATATATTAATATTTTAAAGTGACATTTTAAAAATTTGTTGATATATCGATATATAGTCGGAGAATAAAAAAACAATTTGAATATAAGAATAAAATATATAAAAATAAACATATAAGAATATATCGTTAAATATCGAACTTAAGTTATTTAAATGCGAATATAAAAATAAATTAAAAAAATAAATATTTTGAAATTTTATCGATATGTAAATAAATATTAGGCATGATTATTTTTAATGTGAATACAAAAATAATGTGGTATTAATATTTTAAAAATTTATCGATATATCAATAAATATTTTCAATGAATATAACAATAATTTGATGTAAACATTTTGAAAATTTATCGATATATCGATAAATATTAGGTATGATTATTTAAAATGCAAATATGAAAATAATAACATGAATATTATAAATTTAAATATGATATGTTCATAAACGTATGAAATACGCTTTTTAAAAACTTATCGATATATCGATAACCCAAGTATCGGTTTTTTTATTACAATATTTATAATTCAACTTATGAAATTGATATAGTTGAGCAATATAATTTAATGAGGCATTTACGATATGATTGTAATAGTCTGTTGGCTAAAAGAATTTTAAACAGTAGAGGGTATCGTAACTTCAAGATCCTAGAACACTTACTTTTGGCGAATCTATGCGCTTCAAATAATGCTCATTGACAAGTTTGCTAGATATCGATAGGGTCTTCAATAAAATCTCTACAAAAACTATTGATGAGTCAATTGCCAGAATTGCCTTTAAAAAAGATCTCATACATAGTCATAATGTCGAAAGCAAGGATTATTGATTTAAGGCTTAGATAGTCGGTAAGTTCCGTAACACCTTAAGTCAAAGCGAAATACACAGGTATGGTTGGTTGTGCATTTCGCTTTGGCTTAAATTCGCTTAAGTTCTTACGGCACATATTGAATAACTGAGCCTTTAGGTTGCACAAATCTAAACAAGCACCTATGCAGAAATACAGCAGAGGAAAGTGTTACTTTACCGGTATTGTGGCTTTTAATCGTTGTTAACATTTTTAATATACTAATGAGCGTGAAAGCACGTCTGCAGATAATATGATTATTCTATTGAGAGAAATATAAGTAAACATAATTTGCGATATAAGATAAAGAACCTTGATTAAGATAAGTACATGGGTAGAAGTACAAGCATAAACTATGGACTATTTACTACCAAAAAAAAGAGCCTTGATTAAAGCAAGTACATGGGTAAAAGTACAAGTATAAACTGTTGACTAAGTATTAGTTCGTTAAATAGTGATCTAATGTTATTTACTACCAAAATAAAGAGCCTTGATTAAGATAAGTTCATGAATGGAAGTACAAGTATAAACTATGGACTAAATATTAGCCCGTCAAGGACTGATCTAATGTTGTTTACAACCAAAATCGAAATCTGTCTGTCAATCAGCTATCAATCAATCTTCATTAATTTTCACTAAAAAATATTTATCCTGTTCAGATCTTTCTTCTTTGTGGAAATTTATTATAGTAAATTTCTTCTAAATGTATACTTCATCATATAAAAATACATTAACTGATTCTTAATGGCTATTTTCTTCTCCATTGATAATAAATTCCATTTTTTGAGCACTTTACTTTAAGCTTTAAATGAAGAACTTAAATTTTAAATTTCTATGTTAATGGTCGTATATCAGGGGAAGTATATGCAAAGCGGACCCTTAGCCACAGTATCTGAGTAATTATTCTAACATTTCTGTTTTATTTAAAACCATAGAAGTTGTTTAAGATTTAAGACTTCATGTTCTACAAATTACAACATCCAACAACAATGGAAACTAACAAATTAAAATGCAAATAAATAAAGCGAGGAGAATGAAAGTTAAAGTTTAAATCAAAAATTCCTCCCCAGCCAGTTTGATTAGAATGCACATAATTGCTTAACCCGGCTTTCAATTAAAACTTCAAAGAATATTTTTTACGTTCATCGTCGAACTACGACGATTCTTTTTCCAGAGCGCGAGCACTCACACGTGTCTAATAAAAACCATTGATGCGGAATGCTGGAATTGTGGCACTAGAAATTGTAGTGCTGGAACCAGTGGCGCGGATAGCATGCCCGGGCGTATACGCTTAGTTAAATTGTGTTGACTTCAAAGTGTAGAGCAAATTGAACGAATAAAGTGCAAATTAAAGTCAGTCAGCAAAAGCAAAGGATTCACAATAAGAAAACGATACGAATGCGCCCTTGCGAAACTATCTTTCCAATGTTGGTTTTCAATAGCAGTAATGGTTACACACTTTTTCTTCTCAAAGCTTTTTCATATTTTTTTAGACTTAAAATGTTTTTTAGAATACTAAAGAAAGATTTTCTCTTCGACAAATCAAATTTTCTTTAAATTCAAAGGAATCAAAGCAAAGAAACATGTAAATATATTTCATATTTTTTCACTTTGATTTTCTTGAAAAGTAGTTATCTAACATTTACTTTAAATAAAATATTAATAAAAGCTAGAAATGAACTTCCTTCGAATACGAAAAATGGGAAAAAGTCTACTTAAGGAATGAATTAAAGTCAAATGTCCTTAGAAATGCATTAAATTAAAATAAAATTAAAATTAATATTTTTTATTTCTCCTTTGAATTTTGGTTTGCTTTCTAAATGTGTAGTACTTACATTCGCCAGCTTCTATAACAGCTATAGAAACAACAACAAAGCAAGTATATGTTAAAGTAGAAACCTACAGTCAGTCGAAATAGGTAGGTAAGAGAATAGACCATACAGAGACCAGATAGGTCAGTACCAATAATAGAAAAAATCCTTAAAAGCACTTAATGACGGTACATATAGCTTAAGATATATGTGTTAGTAACGAATTTTAAAGATGGGTTCATCCAATATTAGGATCGAAATACTAGCTTTCAAACAACCT